GGGGGGATCCAGTAAAAGGGGAGGGGGAGAAACCAAAGGGAAATTTCACAGAGCTCAATCCAGTCCGTTTCGTAACAGATATCATCTAAGTTAAATACAAGAGCGGGGTGTCATAATGAAAAGGATTTCACAACACAAGGTGCCACCATAGTAGAAGGATAACTTAAAACGAACTAAAAAGTTAAAGTAGAAAATTATTACAATGTCTTGAAATGCATTACACACATTAACTTTTATTTTTATTTTTTATTTTTTTTTTAAATATTTTCTGCACAGACTTTGTTTGTGTAGATGCATTTTTAGACAGAAAGTCTTTTTTTCTTTTCTACTTTTCAGCATTAAAATTGTAATCTTCAAATTATCGACTAAAGTAGAATTATTATTTTTTTTTTTTTAAATCCCTGTTAAAGTGACTTAATCTTTACCTATGTATAACACTTTTTAAAAAAGTAGGTCTTAGCTCACCCATCCACCCGTTCACTCAATCAGCAAAGCAGACGCAGTCAACAACGATAATTTGAGCGACAGAGTTATCAGCCTTTTCAAAAATTCCCAGAAGCACTTCTCCAACTTCAACTTTCCAAATCGTGAAACTTCACATATCTTATCACCTCGGACATCAGCTGTTGAAGAGGATTCAAAATATATATCGCTAGATTTATATCCATGATAACTAAATCCTCCACGTGGATTGCCAGAACATTTATTAACTCATTCTAATTTTTGTGGCAAGATAAGATGCAAACGCTTCAAGTAGGGTGGTACCCTGCTCTTGAATTTAATTTGTATATGTTAAGAAGCCGACCCGAGTGAGCTCTGTCAATTTGAAATTTGGTTTCACCACCCCTCACCCCCTGTGGGGTGTCTCCCGGTGCGGTCCGCAACCTTGCACACCTATTGAACGTCAACTTATGCTCAAAAACGGCAAGATCTGCACAAGCGTGTACATGAGGAGGCCGCCAACAACTGCTGCCTTTTGCAAAACCTCTATTTAGGAACAAGGGGTTTCAACACTAAGTAACATAAAAACAAAGCAGGGAATAGAAATCAATTATTATGAATTATTTATCTTCGAAGACTCTATCCAAATTGTTCTGCCAATTACAATATCAAACATCATGTTTACAGCATTTAAAGTGAAATCTTTTTTAAGGAATTCTTTTTTTTTAATAACAAGGATTTTATTCATTTATTTCATAGCATTTATTTTTATTCTTTTTATCAAACAATACAAATCATTTTTTTTAAATAAATAAAAATGTTCAACAAATATTCTGCATTTATGATTTTTCTCTTTCAAAGCGTGGTAACGTCAGTTTAAATATAATTATTTGGGGTGCTAATTAAAAAGTTCGCCGTGACAACTTTAAGTCCACCGTACTTGATTCCGTGACTGAGACGTATGTGATTCTGTGCCTGAAACGTATGTGATTCCGTGCCTGAGACGTTTGTGATTCTGTGCCTGAGACGTATGTGATTCTGTGCCTGAGACGTATGTGATTCCGTGCCTGAGACGTATGTGATTCCCAGCCTGAGACGTATGTGATTCCGTGCCTGAGACGTATGTGATTCTGTGCCTGAGACGTATGTGATTCTGTGCCTGAGACGTATGTGATTATGTGCTTGGGACAAACATGATTCCGTGCCTGAGACGTATGTGATTCCGTGCCTGAGATGTATGTGATTCTGTGCCTGAGACGTATGTGATTCTGTGCCTGCGACGTATGTGATTCTGTGCCTGAGACGTATGTGATTATGTGCTTGGGACGAACATGATTCCGTGCCTGAGACGTATGTGATTCTGTGCCTGAGATGTATGTGATTCTGTGCCTGAGACGTATGTGATTCTGTGCCTGAGACGTATGTGATTCTGCGCCTGAGACGTATGTGATTCTGTGCCTGAGACGTATGTGATTCTGTGCCTGAGACGTATGTGATTCTGTGCCTGAGACGTATGTGATTCTGTGCCTGAGACGTATGTGATTTTGTGCCTGAGACGTATGTGATTCTGTGCCTGAGACGTATGTGATTCTGTGCCTGAGACGTATGTGATTCTGCGCCTGAGACGTATGTGATTCTGCGCCTGAGACGTGCGTGTTTCTGTGCCTGAGGCGTATGTGATTCTGTGCCTGAGACTTAATTTGTGGCGTAATTTTATTCGTTGGGTTGTACCAAACAGCTGCACTGGAAATAAATGTATTGCATTTGTTTTAGAAAGAGTGGGGGGGGGGGGCCTCACTACACAAGTTTTAACACGCTTACCCAAGCTTTTCTTACCCCTGGCACCACCTGATCGCACGCATAAAATGTTTTAATGCTTCTCTCCCTCCCTCCCACAGTGCTTCTCCCCCCTCCCATTTAGGAAGAGTGGGGGGGGGGGGGCCTCACTACACAAGTTTTAACACGCTTACCCAAGCTTTTCTTACCCCTGGCACCACCTGATCGCACGCATAAAATGTTTTAATGCTTCTCTCCCTCCCTCCCACAGTGCGTCTCCCCCCTCCCACAGTGACACACACACACACACACACACGCTCATAAAAACTCACAATGTGGTAATGTAAGAAGAAAGATTCTTCATGCTGTTGTAAAGAAGACTGAATTTAAATTTCGCTGCCATTCTAGACCTTAACCTTCCCAATATTGTGTTTAAACTTACAATAATTGAAATCCTTATTGTAGTAATGCGATGCTGGTTGTCATAAGTGGTGAGATGTCGGTAATTATGAAGGATGCTGTGAAGTCAGTGAAGTGCTCTTTGGAAATGGATGCGCAAGTTGGAATAAGCGCATTTCGGGTAAAGGGATCAAGAGAATCGATCGGTCAGAGGAAAGTATTTGGGAGGTGAAAGGGTTTTACGAGATGGCGGGTGCTGGTTGCGTTTCGTTTGAAATTCACCACAACACAACTTACACATCGTTAGTAGGAGGATGGACGCAGCACGGTGCGGCCCTACGTGCGGACGGACGGCGCTGCTAACTGAACGCCCATTCAAACATGCGTCTGAATAAAAAGTAGCCATTGATTATAATCAGCTTATTTAAACGCTCGGATTAACTAAACGATTGATTATAACCAGTCTGTTTGCACCAGGCAGATTAGCTTAGCCAGTTGTTATAACGAGCCAATGATCAAAAGTGAAAGAGAAACAGAATAATATTTATACTGAATTTTTAATTTTTTTTTTTTTTGGTTGCAGAATTAAGTCACAGGTCGTATAACTGTGATGGCAATATTATATCCAAGGTCATATGAATGTATTGCCAAACTTGAAATCCAAGGTCATGTAAATGTGTTGGGAAACGTTAAATCCGAAGTCATATAAATGTGTTGGGAAATTTTAAATCCTAAGTCATATAAATGTATTGGGAAACGTTAAATCCTAAGTCATATAAATGTGTTGGAAAATTTTAAATCCTAAGTCATATAAATGTGTTTGCAAACGTTAAATCCTAAGTCATATAAATGTTTTGGCAAACGTTAAATCCTAAGTCATATAAATTTTTTGGCAAAAGTTAAATCCTAAGTCATATAAATGTGTTGGGAAACGTTAAATCTTAAGTCATATAAATGTGTTGGCAAACGTTAAATCCTAAGTCATAAAAATATGTTGGAAAACATTAAATCCTAAGTCATATAAATGTGTTGGCAAACGTTAAATCCTAAGTCATATAAATATGTTGGAAAACGTTAAATCCTAAGTCATATAAATGGATTGGCAAACTTTAAATCCGAAGTCATATAAATGTGTTTGCAAACGTTAAATCCAATGTCATATAAATATGTTGGAAAACGTTAAATCCTAAGTCATATAAATGTATTGGCAAACGTTAAATTCTTAGTCATATAATGTGTTGGGAAACGTTAAATCCTAAGTCATATAAATGTGTTGGCAAACGTTAAATCCAATGTCATATAAATATGTTGGAAAACGTTAAATCCTAAGTCATATAAATGTATTGGCAAACGTTAAATCCTAAGTCATATAATGTGTTGGGAAACGTTAAATCCTAAGTCATATAAATGTGTTGGCAAACGTTAAATCCAATGTCATATAAATGTGATGGCAATATCATATCCAAGGTCATATAAATGTTTTGGCAAACATTAAATCCTAAGTCATATAATGTGTTGGGAAACGTTAAATCCTAAGTCATATAAATGTGTTGGCAACCGTTAAATCCTAAGTCATATAAATGTGTTTGCAACGTTAAATCCTAAGTCATATAAATGTGTTTGCAAACGTTAAATCCTAAGTCATATAAATGTGTTTGCAAACGTTAAATCCTAAGTCATATAAATGTGTTGGGAAACGTTAAATCCTAAGTCATATAAATGTGTTGCCAAACGTTAAATCCAAGATCATTTAAAACGTGCTTCATTTCTTTGGATGACTCAAGTTAATGGCTTTGAACATGGCGGCATAAAAAAATATACACTAATGGTAAGATTATGTCTGATATATTGAAACCTGGTTTGTTTTTAAAATTTAGCTAGTTTTAACATTGGTGTAATGCCATGACACATTGGTCTGTTGTTATGATGCATTGGTGTGTTCTTTTTCTTCTATATTTTGATGGCCCACGATCGGTTTTGATCATTCTGGCTCCTATTCTCTTCCATACATGTATATAATGGGCATACCAAATAAAGTGATGCACTGACACATTGATGTGTTGTCATGACGCATTGATGTGTTGTACTAAGACAATAGTGTGTTGCACTGATGCATTGGTGTGTTGCATTGACACAGTGATATGTTGTCATGACACATTGGTGTGTTGTCTTGGTTCACAGGTAAGAGTTTGATAAAGTAATTGAAATTAAATTTAAAAACAAAACATTATAAAATTAGGACAAAAGTAAACTGAGGCGTATAATTTATATAATGTTAATATATAATTTATTCAGTGCATGAATTAAGAGGTTTCTTCATATTTAAAAGTTGTCCCATGACCATAAAAAAAGTTAAATAGAACAGACTTCAACATTAAACACATAATAATATTATGCTAATAGTTTTTTTAAGATAAATTGCATCCATACAGTTGAACTGTAATTGTTTTCAGTGACTAGAACATCTATTCAATGAAATGCGCCAAAGGAAGTTATGTTATCATCAGGATTTAATCAATATCAAGACTGCTATCTAAGTGAGCCATGATAGGAACATTGTTTTACTGTGACTGTACCTGCACAACAAAACAATGTTTTTACCTTTGTAGGTGAGGCAATGACATGAGCAATAGTGGATAAACGTAACTCTTGATATCCACCGGATTCCCTTTGGGATGTATGATTCTTGATCCCGACCATTTCCTCTGTGGCTATTATGATTCTGATACCCTAACAAGCCGATCACTGACTGCTATGTGGTGAAGTGGGCAATCAAATCAAATGGGATTTATTCAGCAAATTGTACTTCAGCATTTAGGGAGAAATTAATTATGTGTATAAGTAAAATAATAGGGATCCATCAATTTTTCGATATACAGGACTGCATACCAAAATGTTACAGATTAATTTATGTTAGTGGTGCTAATAAAACATGCCACTTATATGAACAACTGTACATCAAAAACTGTCAGGGATGAAATAGATCATTCCCTACATTAGAAAAAAGCTACAGACCAAAATGTATATTCTTTACTTAAATGTAAAAATAAAAATAATTTTAAAAAAGAAATTTAATTATACTTAACAATTTTCAACAACAAAAAAAATGAAAATGTGAAGTTTTTAAGCCATTATTTTTATAGTAAATACTAATGTACTCTTTGGTTTAATTTTAATTTCACTTTATTATACGTTTACAACTAATACCGCACATCATGCAACCCTTTACCATATCTTGATATAGTATAAAACAATGTATTATTATGGAATCTAAAATGTAAACAAATTAGTATAAATTATAAAGTAATATGTATTTTGTAATTTGGTAATTTAAAAATCAAACAAATTAAAAAATTAATTTTTTGATTATTTGTAACAATGCACTCAAAAATGAATTTATGATGTCTTCTTTAGTTCAACTTTGAAAATAACATGAACATATATTTATATATATTAAATATATATATTTGTTTAGGTAATTACACCATGCACAATATATAAAATATACGAATACTTGAAACATAGTAATTTTAAAGCCAAGGTGGTCAACCTTTAGGTGCAGAGAGCAGCAGGAAAATTATTTTATTGATGGCCAGCCCCATAATTTTCTAATTTAGATTTCTAGACAATAAGTTGAACAAATTTTTAATAGCATTGAAATAATTATAGTGAGTTGATAACTAACATATCACATCAGACAACTAGTTAATAGGGCAGGTTTGTGAACAGCGATAGTAATAAGTTACATACAAATATTTAATGAGAGTTTTGTGGATGCAAACAGTTTTTAACTAGATTCCCCATAAGATCTTGTTGGCCAGATTAACCATTTCAAGTGTCTTCTCAACCAGCCAAAAAATTTTGCTTGTATTTCATAATTTAAAAATAAAATAAAATTCATTTTAGTTTTATTGGGTTGGTTGTGTTTAGAGCTTATGGAATGGAAAATTTCCAAAGCGCTTAAAACTTAAGGATAGGATGATATGCAGAATGTTTAGAACTTAAGGATCGGATAGAGTGTTTAGCACTTGAGGACTGGATGACACCTTGAGTGTTCAGAACTTAAGGATTGAAAGATATACAGATTGATTTAGAACTTATGGATTGGATGACACTCAGAGTGTTTAGCACTTGATGACTGGATGACACCTTGAGTGTTCAGAACTTAAGGATTGAAAGACATACAGATTGATTTAGAACTTAAGGATTGGATGACACCCAGAGTGTTAAGCACTTGATGACTGGATGACACCTAGATTGTTCAGAACTGAAGGATTAGATGACATACTGAGTGTTTTCAACTTAAGGATTGGATGACACTCAGAGTGTTTAGCACTTGATGACTGGATGACACCTAGATTGTTCAGCACTGAAGGATTGAAAGACATACAGATTGTTTAGAACTTAAGGATTGGATGACACCCAGAGTGTTAAGCACTTGATGATTGGATAACACCTTGATTGTTAAGCACTGAAGGATTAGATGACATACAGAGTGTTTTCAACTTAAGGATAGGATGACATCAAAAGTGTTTAGCCTTGTGATGTTTTCAGATAACACTGATCTCTCCTTGACATTTCTCACAGCAGTTGAGTGTGAGGTTTTCATGCCGAGTGTGAGGGTGAAATCTCTTAATAAGAGAATCATGTGGTCCAGTTACAGGTATAAGCCTTGAGGATCCTGACTGCAGTGATCCAGTCGGTTCAACTGGCCGGGAGAGCACCTGCAGAATGGTAACAAAAATCTAATATGTGCACAATGTATCTAAGTAGGTAGTCCAAACTAAAATTAATCATATCCATTGCAGAAACATTTAATGACTTTCAGCTCATAGAAATGTGTATTCCAAGATGTCAGATGTGTCTACACATATCAAAAAAACATGGCATCAGATGAGTCTACAAATGTAACTAGCACTAACAGAAAAATATTTTTAAAAAATCAATGCACAATATCAATAAAAATATTATTGAATTGAGTGCAAAATTCAATTCAATTGTGGTAAAATGCCTCATCTATCTGCTGGATGATGACTGCAGGGAGAGAACTTTTATAAATACTTTTTAATCTCCCTTGTTGACTTTGTTCCCCTAATAGAATGTAGCAACTATAGCAATTCCCCTAATACAGTGTAGCATCTATAGCAATTACCCAAATAGAGTGTGGCATCTATAGCAATTACCCTACTAGAGTGTGGAATCTACAGCAATCTTTAAGTCTGGCCACAACATCATGAGAATTTGAATGACAGTGGTGCATTTGTAAACAGTGTGGCATTGCGCCTATCATGCTAAATGAATTCATATTATGTGATTAGGTAGCCAAAAACCTGAACTTTCTATCAGTGTAAGGAAAGTACTAAAATTCCAATATTTTCACACGCTTTTCTTCAAATTTTCAAATCACATTTAAACATTTTAAAAAAAAAAGAAATACTTCGATAAACTAAAGATCAGGTTCTGCTCTTACACATCGTGATAGAATTATTCCAATAAATTGAATAGGCACTACACCGCAAGAGTTGAAAATTCCTTTGGGGTAAATCGGAACTCATGAAACTGCTGTAAAATCGGAATAATATTTGCCAAATTCACTTTCAAAGACAAGTATAGGGAAAAAAGTAAAATATTTTGCAAATACATAGTTTAAAACCAATTCACATATATATATATATATATATNCCATTTTATTTATTCAGCAATGTAGAAAGTAAATTTTCTAAATTAAAAAAAAATGTATATATAAAAATATATATATATATAAATAAATAAATAAATAAATATATATATATATATATAAATAAATAAATACATAAATAAATAAATAAATAAATAAATATATATATATATATATTATTACTGTAGGCCCACTGTACTCTGGAAAACAAGGAAAAATACTCAAAAATGCTTTTTTTCCTGTTTGGACCACTTAATTTAAGTTAATGTCTTAACATTAGGTAAAGCAATTTTTCTATTTGATTTGTCTGCTCAGTATTTTTTTTTTGTCACATCACTCAGAAATTGTGACTCTGAATCTAAATAATATTTTGAGTTGAACTCACTTCATGTGCAAACTGTTCTGCCCGTGTTACAGAATGAGACCATAGTTCATCCGTTACGTCAGCATCAATGTTAACAGCCACGTGGGCAGGGAGCAGTCGGAATCGCATGGCTTCTGCCAGCTGCTGACATGATCTTGATAGCTCCAAAACATTGGTTGACCTCAGAGATGACGAGCATTGGGAATTGAGGGGGTCAAAGGCACTTTTCACTTGTTGCAGCACTCTTGTCATATGGAATGAAGCAGTTTCAAAGATTGTTTAATATTAGAAAAGGATACCACACATGTTTGGAAAAAAAAAAAGAAAAATAATTGTTATCTATTAAAGTCTAGCAAAGTTTTAAAAATGTAGCAGTATTCTTATGGGATAATTTTTTACCCCTAGAAGCTAACGGGTAATTAAGCTTTTGACATTTCTAATGACACTGTGACATCGGTCATTATGTTGGTCTTAGGCATCATGTGGTTTCCAGGAGGTTGGTGAGTACCTCGTGTCTCTCATTTAACAATCTAATGGTCAGTGCGTAGCTCATGTCTCTCATTTAACACTCATGGTTCTTACTTGTAAGCCTCCAGGAGGTTTGTGCGTAGTTCATGTCTCTCATTTAACAACTGCTGTAGAGCATTTTGAGCTTCATGGCACTGGAGTGAGTAGTAAGCTCGAGCGTTACCAAGCTCTTCAATCATAACACTAAGAAAGAATAACATTTCATAATTTTACATATTTACAGTTTCATAAAACTATTCAAAAACCTGGTAAACAGAAAGAAGTTTAAGTTACTCATTAATGTGCCATATTGTATCATTACAAAGACTAAACCAACCATATTTTGAAATTGAACTTTTCATTAAAAATGCACTTCTTATTTCTTAGCTTTCAAACATTATTTTATTCATTTTTTTTTAGCTTTGATACAAATATTTATAACATAATTATCATGCTAAAAATTATAAATAAAAGTTTTAAAAAAATTATAGATAAAACCTTAGTCGCCTTAATAAGCAATATATGTTTACATTTTATTATTTTTTTAAAATATTGTGACTTACCGTGACGCCAAGTACTTGCTGCGCCACATATCTGCCTGAATTGAAACTTTATCAAGATTTTCATAATCTTCATTGAGTTTCTTACTGAAACCACCAATGTCCATGGAGAGCTGTGCTCGATCCCTACACGAAGAAAATATACACATGCATTACAAATCATTTTAATCATTTTAATAAAAAGCAACTAGAAATGTGTTTTTACATTGTACCTAAATTAATTTAAATGTATAGAACCTGAAAATCTAGCGTCATTTATAATCAGGTTCATCTTTATTGGTAGACCTACCAGTGTGTCCAAACAATTGTTTAAATTTAAATACAAAATGACCTATAGCAGGGTTTCCCAAACTACACCCCTATGTCTTGCACCCTGAAAAATGTAACAAACTGCATTTTAAATAGGTCCAAAAAATCCACTTCTAATGTTGTTTATTGAATTACAAAAGGAAAAATATCACAACATTTACATCATAACTAAAAATTCAATGGCTTCTCTGTACTTATATAATCACTTTTCCTTGTACCCCCTGAAGGGTCACCTGGCACCCCAAGTTGCGAAACTCTGGTCTATAGTATATGTCCGGACATGTGTAGTACAAATGACTTAAAGAATAAATACATCACAGAGAATGGGAATTTTTTAAAATCAATATTCATCTGCAATAATACTTGGATTATTATTTTTAGATATGTAACTGTATTTTACTACAACTACTTTTCTGTTGAAATATTAGCCTATACTATGACACACAAGCTGCTGATAAATCAGGTGCAACCAAAAATGTTTCACATAATTACCTGCATAGTCTTTCCACCCTTTGGCTAAGGTCTTCTCCTACTGAGGCTACCAGCAGCCGTTTAAGTTCTGAATTAACTTGGAGCTGTATCTTCAATTCTTTTTTTAGTTCATCTTTTTCATGTTCCAATCTTGTGATGTTGTCAGAAGATAATGTATCACTAGAAACCATGGTAACTGATGTTGAATTTTGGATTGAAGAATTATTACTTCCACAGTGTGCAGCAATGACTGGGCTAGAAGATAAGTTTTCAGATTGTAGCAAGTCTACTGACTGTCTAATGGTCATTTGAGGTTTAAAAGTAGTAGTTGTGTCAACATCACCAGTGACAGTTGTTCTGTGATGCGGATTTTCAGCAGTTGGGTGTTCTTTTGATTGTGGAATTAAAGCCTGCCTTAACGAAGCAGAATTGTAAGTCTGAGAAACTGGCATGGGCAAGACTGGTAGATTTGGTTGTCCGGTTAATAATTTATCATTTACTGTGTCTGGTTGGGGCCTAATATGGTGTGAGGCCCCAACAACAGCAACAGGCCTGGAAGAACTTGGTTTAAGGAGCTCAGAATTTATTCCAAATGTAGTCTGGGTTTGTAAAAGGTTATCTTCTCTAATTGGGTTTTCAGAATGGGATCCATCGACCATGGTTTCTTTGGGCAGTTTACGAGCCTGTTGAAAATTGTATTTTGGTAAAGCCTGTCTGAGAAGGACAGTTTCTTTGGTCCCATTTTCTTGCTTGGTGTAGGTTGACATTATGTTCAGATTTCTGTAAAGAATAAAAATGAAAAATAAAAATGAGCTAGCCACTTACAATAAAAAAAACTGAAGACAGATTTTATTTCTTTGCATTTAGCCCTGCTCAAAACACACCTAATTTCTGTCTCTAAGTTTACACCAACTATTTGGGATGTGTATTTTGACTTAGTGAACTTAAGCAGAGAATGCTGATTCACAGATCCAAATTGAACCAAACATATTTTATTTTAATTTTGTTTTCTTTTCTTTTCACATAACTTTTTTTCTTTTTATTTTTCTAGGACGGAAATTGAGTTAGGAAATGTCATTATACAGTAGCAGTCAATATACCAGATTTTTTAACTACAATAACATTATACAGTAGCAGTCAAAATACCATATTTTTATCTAAAATAACGTTATCATACATTGGCAGTCGAGAGACCAGATTTTTAAACTACAGTCGAACCCGCTTATCTCGACCTTGGTTACCTTGCCAACCCTGTTATGTCAAAATTTTTGAAGTGGAACCACCAAATTCTCTCTTTGACTTAGCATTTTCTCCTCGGTTATGTAAATTCTTTTATGTTGATGAACCCAGATACCTCGAGCACAAAAGGGGACCTAATTTGCCACTTTATCTCGGTTATCTCGATCCCCATGACCAATAGCAGGCTTTTGAAAATTATATACGACAGAAACGTGCAGACTTCAAACTGTAATGATTGAAATGAAATGACAATATCATTGTCTGCGCAATTAACTTGACACAGCAGAAGTGATGAGTGAGAGGTTTGCAAACAAAAGGTTGCAGTACCTGTTCTATTTATAGCAAACCCGCTTGTTGCTTAATATAGGCTTTCACACGTTCTTACGGGTTGATTTTTTTTAAAACCCAGAACCCTTATTTGAATAAACTGAACTGGCGAATTTGGAGCGAGAGAAAAATAAAAACTCGCGAATCCAGAGGTGAAAAATATTTAGTGTCACGAATCGGGAATTCCGGAAAAGTGACACCCCACATATGCTTTGTGTTGTTAGCAAACATGTATGTACATTTTTATAGCATCCTGATTGCTTCATCAACCAAATCGCGGTAACGATGTTGTGTAAAAAAACAAAAAACAAAAACGACAAAAATATGTGCATATACATCTCATTTATAAACCCACATCGTGTACATAAAGAAATTTCAAGCACATGTTAATATATTGCCGCCATATTGGTTTTCCTTTATCTCGATTAATCGGTTATCTTGATGCTTTTTGGCAAACCTCGAGGCCGACGACATAACCGGGTTCTACTATACAATAGCAATAATAACATTATTCAGTTGATTTTGGGTTAGCGGTAAGGCCAGTGATGTGTTTCACAGTATATAGATCACGGAGGTTCCCCAGGTCCGCTTCTGTCTACAGCGCCATACTAAAAAGATTTTGATGTTTGTATTCACATAATGCAAGTTATAGTTTTCTTATTGTTAAATTGGGGAGGGGTCACTAGGTTGGTCTCCCGTCCCCAGAGGATTTCTTTGTTTCTTGTTTTGGTTTTTAAAGTGGGAGGAGGGGGGTCTCCCCTCCCAAGTCCCTAGAAGATCATTCCAAATGCAAGTAGTCTACCTTTAGTTACCACATTTTAACATACAGGTAATTTGATTTTAAAACAATCAAATTACAGCACTTTTGGCGCACGTCTTTTTTTTTTCACTGGTGATTGGTCTTGGGGTACCAGCAAGGATGTGTTTCTTTTTACCTTTCTTTTGAAAGTGTAAGTTGAATTTTAATACAAATGAATGGCTAATTAAATTTTAATATACTTCATATTAACCGTATCGTCTACAATTAATAGGTCTATTCAAACTTCAGTGTTGGGATTTCCTAAAGTGACATCACTGTCACTGCACTTAGGGTGAGACAACTCTTGGCGAAACCCATACCATTAACCCAAAATTTACCCATTATTCACTATACAGTTGCAGTAAGTTAGTCCTGTACTGTACAATTTAGTGTTAGTCAACCATTACAGCATGGAGTAAATTTGATAAAAAATGCACATAGACTGACATAGACATAAGTTAACACGCAAAAATTCAATCAGAAATAATATATACACCCACACTTTTCAATATCCTCAAAACAATCATCACACTGCAATGAACAATGACATTATTGGGCCATGGCCATAGTCATAGCCATACACATACAGTATAGTATAGGCATAGCCTATGCCTATAATAGTATTGTGCTAGTTTTTACTAAGAAAATGTTGTTTTTTCTTTTTCTAACCATTTAATTTACGAAGTGGATGCGTACACCGCGGCGGTGTACCTAATGAAACCATCGGCTTTGGCCTGCGTAAACCGCGGCAGTGTATCTAGCGAAATCGTGGGCTTTGGCCTGGGTACACCACGGCAAAAATGTACCATTGGCCTTGTTTTAAGATATGCATGCTAGAGAAGATCTTGCGTGGTCAAGTGGTAGAGTGGACGCTTGGCGATAATATATTTTGAGATCAATTCCCAGTAGGGGATCGAGTTTTTTTTTCCCTCCCATTTTAGTTTTAATATTTTTGTAGCAATTTAAACAATTTAAATATATGTTTAAATATTATATCAAACACACTTATATATATATATATATATATATAAGTGTTTCAACAAGTTGTGCCGGCCTTTGACTTTGAAAATACCGGGTAAATTTAGTAATAAGACATTAGACATTGGAAAACAAACTTAAAGTTTCTGAAAGCGCATGTATAGTGTATGTAACATGTATAAGAGAAACATTATGAATACTAAGTGATATTCTATTGTATTTCAACATTCTTCGTGTAGTTGAATATTTACATTTTACATTTACGAACACCCAAAGAAAATACCAGTATATCATTAATATCATATGACTATGAATATCAATGTCATTATTGTGCATGGTCGTATTTCAACCTTGATATCAAAGGTTCATTCACAAAACTCAGTCTCACAGCAAATCTTTTGAAAACACCTCGATGTTAGAAACTTGCGGAGCGGTAGCAAACTGTATAGCAAAGCCATAGGCATAGTTCTGCATTTACCCTTTTCATGAAGGAATTTTTTTCCAGATTGACATGGCATATGCTATTCTCGGGGTAAAACACGACGTTTTCTCACAGAAACCATTGCACAATGGAATTGGGACAGGATTTGCGCTTTGTCAAAGTTTTTTTATTTGTTTTTTTTTTTTTAAGAAATCGATCCTTGCCGGAAGGGGAGTGGGGGGTGGAGGTGAGTTATGGGCAGAGGCTTAACTAAAAAGGGGCCCTTCACAAATCACGGCTCTGGATAGGGGTTGTCCACAAAGGACGCCCGCACAACAAACTTAACTTTTGCATCCCCGGAATTTTTTACTAATGTGTAATGCCAATGTAAAACAAAATCAATGATATTTAATTATTGTTAAAAGACTTTTAAAAAACACTGCAGTGTTTCGTATTCATCATCATACTATTGTTTTGTGTTGACACACGCTTGGTATCACAATGACAATGCCTTGGACAACTTTAACTTCACGACTTCATGATCAATGTATGTGATTCTCTTACTGTAATGTATTTGTGGCGTAATTATATCTTGGTGCTAACAAAATAGATTCACTGGCTTCCCATTCATTTTTACACCATGCCCCGAGGGATCACATACAATGTTATATTTATAATATCCCTCCCCCCAAAAAAAACAACAACAACAGCAACTGGGTGGGGGTGGGGGGAGAGAATAATTTCAAATTAGCTACCCTTTTTATGCCTATTAAGATTCACGATCATATGATAAAACTTACAACAATTAATAAATATATGTCTTTCAATATATTGGGGGGGGGGGAGAGAAATAAAGTGGTTAACTTTAAAAATAAATCATTGTTTAACTTTTAACATTACACCCCCAGCCCCCTCCCTTCCAAAAAATAATAAGAAATGCTTTACAAGTACTTTGCCACATAAGCGAGGAACTTACTCAATATCTTCCCAAGGTGCTAAACGAATTTTAAATAAATAGTTTTCAGTTTTAACACGAGTATAACATTAAATCTACAAATACCGGTTACGCCAAAAAATTTGACTCGCAAAGACCATTGTTTTGCTACTTAACATTTCTGCGGTGTACGCAGGCCACAGACCATGATTTAGCTAGGTACACCGCCGTGGTGTACGCAGGCCAAAGTCAATTGTTTCGCTAGGTACACGGCTGCAGTGTACGTAGTGCCGGCCTTTAATTTATTTAATAAACTTAAGCTTAAATTTAGGCCTAGTCCATTTTCATTTATGTAAAATGTAATGTAGTGCTAAATTTAATTTAAAGTAACGTGTCTTGAAAGTGACGCAAACAATCAACAATCCCAAATCACCATTGGCAGCCATTGGCCATTGAATTGACAATGACGGTGAATGTAGTTTTATATTTCGCATTAACACTAAATGGCTTTCATAATTGAGAGACTCAGTCAAGAAAAAACTCAGACTAGTTATTGATTTCTCACGTATTAACAATAATATAACTTACTAGTTACTTTGTATTTGTTTAAAAATTATTGTCGTACACTAACTTTAACGTTTTCAATATCCTGGAGTCCTGTGTACAAATATAAAGTCAACCTATACACCGAAAGCCCTGAGCATTCAGAGAGAAAACCGAGATTGCAATATTTTATTCCTTGAATAATTGCATGCATGTGTTTGATATATGTACACTGGTTCATTGATGTGTGACCCCTTCTATTCAAAATTCTAGACATGTCAATAATACTCTCGGGACCAACCCCCCCATCCGAACACACACGTCCTTCACACACACACAGTTTTTTTTTTTAAATCGTCGTATTTGATTTCAAGGTAAGTGGTCGTGGTCATTAGAATGCAGGCAGGTTTCCCAAGTTTTTTTTTTTAAACACATTTTTGTAAGTCCGTTATCAATTGTATTATTTTGGTACTAAATTTTTTTTTAAATTTGGTCAGTTGAAAAAAAATAATCCAGGGATTTTTGTGGCGGTTAAAGTAAAGGAAAGAGTTTTATAATGGGCTTCTTAATCTTAATCTGGTCCAGTTTTAAAATTTTCAAAAAAATCTATAATTTATATTTTCTACAAAACAATATAATGGTCTCACTTTTTTTTGCAACTGAAAAAAATTGGAAACATTTGCATTTTATATAAATGCAAAATAAGTATTTGTTTCTTTTTCATATAATTAATAATGTTTGCAGTATTATTTTGAGACGAACTTTTTTTTTTTTAACAGATTACCTGTAATAAAATTTAAATGTTTTTTTTTTTTTTTAAATCAAGAAGAAAGAATTTTAAAAAAAAACAACATTTAAATAATTAAAAAAAAAAAATTAGTGGGACTTTTCAAAAGTGGTCTTGATGCTACCTTAAATAAAATTGAGTTTCAATTTTTATTACCATTATAGGATATTTGTATTGCAATAGATAAAAAAATATAAAGATGTTTAACTTAAAAAAAAATCATCCATGTTTTAACAGTACCCCCACCCACACTTTTTTTTAAACAAATACATTTCTTATTATACACCATAGCCTTGGCGTAGTTATGGTTTAGTGTCCCCCCCCCCTCCGTTGGTCAAATATTTTAGTCGCCCACTGCCACGAAAAAAAATTGGCCGAAAATGCCACCTCTCCATATCAGCGTTTCCCAGAGTGATCCACTTCTGCACCCCCTCCCCTTTTCCATAGTCACCGTCCGTCCGTCTATAGAATATTATATGTCCTCTTAGGATACAAATTACATCCTTGTAGAGAGGGGGTGAGTTATAAAACAGTGCATACATTGACATGACTTCATTTAATGGTATTTCACGTCATAATATTGTTTGAAATTCCTCAAATAGATCAGCTATAGAGCTATAGAGGTCACAGTGACCCTAACGCAGCGTATAACTAAACAAATGCGAGCTTGGGGATGACGGAAATATCCATAATCTCCCCCCTCCTCCCACTTGCCCGCATTTTTCCGCTTTTTAAGGAAACAACACCCCCCCTCCCTCTTCCCCGTCTACGCGGACGATCTCCTAGCATTTATTCCGTTGTTTGCCAACCAAGTTTAGAATGATGCACAACTAAACTAGGGTATGTACCAAAAAATGCACTGAATTTTGAATTTATAAAAATATTTCTCGGGAGGGGCTCAAACAGCTCCCCTTTAAAACACAATTTCCAGCTTTTTAGGGAGCCGTCAGCGCCCTTGATTTCTGCTTGATCTTAATGCAGGTACCTGTACTTTTTTTATGAGTACGAGTGGCGAAACAAAACTGGGGCCGAAAGCATACCCTCAGGGGACGTCTCAACCAGAATGAATTTATGTTAATGTATGGAGAGGATGAGGCCAGTCAGTGTCGTCCTTGGGTCACATTTTTCCTAAATTTGGCACTGACAGACACCCTCCCCCCCTCTCTCGAATGTCTCTAAAGCATGCCCCCTCCCCCCTTTCTTTTACCGATGATATTGCCTGGAAGCAACATCGACCATAACTCATAGTAAAAAATGGGCCCCAAATGCTTTTCCTAACATTACTTGAATAAGTTAGAGAGGAAATAGGGGGCCTCGGTGCATTATTTTGCACTGTCCCCCTCAGTGTTTTTCTTTTAGAAATTTCCACCCCTGGGGGGGGGGGAGCATTTCAGATTTTCGGGGGGGGGGGCACTTCAGATTTTTCGGGGGGGGGGGGGGGCCGGCGGCTCCAGTTCATTTAAAATATTGTTGGAAATACTTTTGCTCACCGGAGATATAGCTGAAAGAAACCCTGGTCCCCCTCCCCCTACCGATGCTTTTAAGACGTCCTTGCCAACAGCCAAACTCTTTTCCATTGTTAAGCACCATCTATTATCTTAATATAAAAGAAGAAAACATGTTCTTTAAAGCGTACCCAGACCTATTTAAAATATAGTAAGAGTGAGAGCGAATAAATTTGGAAAGGTTGGGCTTGTGGATCGCCGCGTGTTGTGAGTGAGGGGAAAATCGTGATTGCGAGGAACTTCTCGTGAGCTAAAACTATGGTGTAGTTTGTTTTTTAAAGAACACCGCCCACATGACTTCCAGCATCTCTTTCATTGGGCATAGTTGTACTTCCTTTCGTGGATAGACGGTGACCCTAACGGATTAACATGGGAGAAAATAGAGGTGCGTTTATTTATTATTAAATTCTGTTGTAATTTTAAATAAATCATTTGTAAACGAAATATATTTTAATAGGAAAATAATTAATCGTTGCATTTATCTAAGATGTTTAAATTTAAATTCTCAACACGTACTTCTTTGAAGATGAAACATGGGACGTGTGGTTCATTTCAAGATTATGTTGACGTTGTAATATTTTATTTAGCCTACAATAACAAACTTTTTATTTTCACTTTCGATGCCGGACGAACTTTCGTGGGCATTTTACAGCCATGCTTCTGATTTTGTTTAACATCTTAGCAACTAATAACTAAGACATGATCGGAGCATTATGTATTACGGTCTCTATTTATTATAATTTTGAGTCTATTAAAAATTTTCTTCTATTTCGGACACTGTACTGTAACTGTAGTCTGTAGTAGTCAGTAGTTTATTATAATTATATTAATATAGTAATAGTAGTACTAAGTAAAGTAGTAGTAAGTATAGCCTACTGGTATAGTATAATAATATGGGGCATTGGCAAATCTGGTTATGTACTTTCTGGTGATCTTTCAACCATCCTATAAGTTATAAGTATTAACCTATGGAATCCGAATACTAAGTCACTAAGACTAAGTCATTTGATTTGTAGTAGTATACTACTCACTCAGCCTACTAGCCTATTGTCATGGCTTCATTCCGCCATACCCATTCCAAGAGCCTGAGTAGTAGGCATAGGGGGTGTCCATTACAATTTTTACACAATTTTTGACCCCCCCCCCCC